TTTCATAGATTTCGGCTTCAAATCTGAGAATAATTTAGTGTATGGAGTTTGGCGGATGTTGATTGACCATAAGGATACAAAATCTCGACAAAAAAAAATTTGAAATTTTATCGTTTTAGTAAGAAGGTACCTACCTTATGATTTAGATTTTGGGAAACTTTGAAAGGTCATAACTTTTTTTCTATTATAGATAGAAAGCTGAATCTTTCACTGAATTTTATCCCTTTCAAAGGACTACAATCTCTGAAAATTTCAACTCATTTGCACTTATAGTTCCTGAGATAAAATCGTGTTAAGCAATTTGGGGTGATTTATCAATTTTTCAGTTTTTCTGAGTGCCTTTTTTTATAGATTTCGGCTTCAAATCTGAGAATAATTTAGTGTATGGAGTTTGGCGGATGTTGATTGACCATAAGGATACAAAATCTCGACAAAAAAAAATTTGAAATTTTATCGTTTTAGTAAGAAGGTACCTACCTTATGATTTAGATTTTGGGAAACTTTGAAAGGTCATAACTTTTTTTCCATTATAGATAGAAAGCTGAATCTTTCACTGAATTTTATCCCTTTCAAAGGACTACAATCCCTGAAAATTTCAGCTCGTTTGCACTTATAGTTCCTGAGATAAAATCGTGTTAAGCAATTTGGGGTGATTTATCAATTTTTCAGAGTGCCTTTTTTCATAGATTTCGGCTTCAAATCTGAGAATAATTTAGTGTATGGAATTTGGGGGATGTTGATTGACCATAAGGATACAAAATCTCGACAAAAAAAAATTTGAAATTTTATCGTTTTAGTAAGAAGGTACCTACCTTATGATTTAGATTTTGGGAAACTTTGAAAGGTCATAACTTTTTTTCCATTATAGATAGAAAGCTGAATCTTTCACTGAATTTTATCCCTTTCAAAGGACTACAATCCCTGAAAATTTCAGCTCGTTTGCACTTATAGTTCCTGAGATAAAATCGTGTTAAGCAATTTGGGGTGATTTATCAATTTTTCAGAGTGCCTTTTTTCATAGATTTCGGCTTCAAATCTGAGAATAATTTAGTGTATGGAATTTGGGGGATGTTGATTGACCATAAGGATACAAAATCTCGACAAAAAAAAATTTGAAATTTTATCGTTTTAGTAAGAAGGTACCTACCTTATGATTTAGATTTTGGGAAACTTTGAAAGGTCATAACTTTTTTTCCATTATAGATAGAAAGCTGAATCTTTCACTGAATTTTATCCCTTTCAAAGGACTACAATCCCTGAAAATTTCAGCTCGTTTGCACTTATAGTTCCTGAGATAAAATCGTGTTAAGCAATTTGGGGTGATTTATCAATTTTTCAGAGTGCCTTTTTTCATAGATTTCGGCTTCAAATCTGAGAATAATTTAGTGTATGGAATTTGGGGGATGTTGATTGACCATAAGGATACAAAATCTCGACAAAAAAAAATTTGAAATTTTATCGTTTTAGTAAGAAGGTACCTACCTTATGATTTAGATTTTGGGAAACTTTGAAAGGTCATAACTTTTTTTCTATTATAGATAGAAAGCTGAATCTTTCACTGAATTTTATCCCTTTCAAAGGACTACAATCCCTGAAAATTTCAGCTCATTTGCACTTATAGTTCCTGAGATAAAATCGTGTTAAGCAATTTGGGGTGATTTATCAATTTTTCAATTTTTCTGAGTGCCTTTTTTCATAGATTTCGGCTTCAAATCTGAGAATAATTTAGTGTATGGAGTTTGGCGGATGTTGATTGACCATAAGGATACAAAATCTCGACAAAAAAAAATTTGAAATTTTATCGTTTTAGTAAGAAGGTACCTACCTTATGATTTAGATTTTGGGAAACTTTGAAAGGTCATAACTTTTTTTCTATTATAGATAGAAAGCTGAAACTTTCACTGAATTTTATCCCTTTCAAAGGACTACAATCTCTGAAAATTTCAACTCATTTGCACTTATAGTTCCTGAGATAAAATCGTGTTAAGCAATTTGGGGTGATTTATCAATTTTTCAATTTTTCTGAGTGCCTTTTTTCATAGATTTCGGCTTCAAATCTGAGAATAATTTAGTGTATGGAATTTGGGGGATGTTGATTGACCATAAGGATACAAAATCTCGACAAAAAAAAATTTGAAATTTCATCGTTTTAGTAAGAAGGTACCTACCTTATGATTTAGATTTTGGAAAACTTTGAAAGGTCATAACTTTTTTTCTATTATAGATAGAAAGCTGAAACTTTCACTGAATTTTATCCCTTTCAAAGGACTACAATCTCTGAAAATTTCAACTCATTTGCACTTATAGTTCCTGAGATAAAATCGTGTTAAGCAATTTGGGGTGATTTATCAATTTTTCAATTTTTCTGAGTGCCTTTTTTCATAGATTTCGGCTTCAAATCTGAGAATAATTTAGTGTATGGAATTTGGGGGATGTTGATTGACCATAAGGATACAAAATCTCGACAAAAAAAAATTTGAAATTTCATCGTTTTAGTAAGAAGGTACCTACCTTATGATTTAGATTTTGGAAAACTTTGAAAGGTCATAACTTTTTTTCTATTATAGATAGAAAGCTGAAACTTTCACTGAATTTTATCCCTTTCAAAGGACTACAATCTCTGAAAATTTCAACTCATTTGCACTTATAGTTCCTGAGATAAAATCGTGTTAAGCAATTTGGGGTGATTTATCAATTTTTCAATTTTTCTGAGTGCCTTTTTTCATAGATTTCGGCTTCAAATCTGAGAATAATTTAGTGTATGGAATTTGGGGGATGTTGATTGACCATAAGGATACAAAATCTCGACAAAAAAAAATTTGAAATTTTATCGTTTTAGTAAGAAGGTACCTACCTTATGATTTAGATTTTGGGAAACTTTGAAAGGTCATAACTTTTTTTCTATTATAGATAGAAAGATGAAACTTTCACTGAATTTTATCCCTTTCAAAGGACTACAATCCCTGAAAATTTCAGCTCATTTGCACTTATAGTTCCTGAGATAAAATCGTGTTAAGCAATTTGGGGTGATTTATCAATTTTTCAGTTTTTCTGAGTGCCTTTTTTCATAGATTTCGGCTTCAAATGTGAGAATAATTTAGTGTATGGAGTTTGGGGGATGTTGATTGACCATAAGGATACAAAATCTCGACAAAAAAAATTTTGAAATTTTATCGTTTTAGTAAGAAGGTACCTACCTTATGATTTAGATTTTGGGAAACTTTGAAAGGTCATAACTTTTTTTCTATTATAGATAGAAAGATGAAACTTTCACTGAATTTTATCCCTTTCAAAGGACTACAATCCCTGAAAATTTCAGCTCATTTGCACTTATAGTTCCTGAGATAAAATCGTGTTAAGCAATTTGGGGTGATTTATCAATTTTTCAGTTTTTCTGAGTGCCTTTTTTCATAGATTTCGGCTTCAAATGTGAGAATAATTTAGTGTATGGAGTTTGGGGGATGTTGATTGACCATAAGGATACAAAATCTCGACAAAAAAAATTTTGAAATTTTATCGTTTTAGTAAGAAGGTACCTACCTTATGATTTAGATTTTGGGAAACTTTGAAAGGTCATAACTTTTTTTCTATTATAGATAGAAAGATGAAACTTTCACTGAATTTTATCCCTTTCAAAGGACTACAATCCCTGAAAATTTCAGCTCATTTGCACTTATAGTTCCTGAGATAAAATCGTGTTAAGCAATTTGGGGTGATTTATCAATTTTTCAGTTTTTCTGAGTGCCTTTTTTCATAGATTTCGGCTTCAAATGTGAGAATAATTTAGTGTATGGAGTTTGGGGGATGTTGATTGACCATAAGGATACAAAATCTCGACAAAAAAAATTTTGAAATTTTATCGTTTTAGTAAGAAGGTACCTACCTTATGATTTAGATTTTGGGAAACTTTGAAAGGTCATAACTTTTTTTCTATTATAGATAGAAAGATGAAACTTTCACTGAATTTTATCCCTTTCAAAGGACTACAATCCCTGAAAATTTCAGCTCATTTGCACTTATAGTTCCTGAGATAAAATCGTGTTAAGCAATTTGGGGTGATTTATCAATTTTTCAGTTTTTCTGAGTGCCTTTTTTCATAGATTTCGGCTTCAAATGTGAGAATAATTTAGTGTATGGAGTTTGGGGGATGTTGATTGACCATAAGGATACAAAATCTCGACAAAAAAAATTTTGAAATTTTATCGTTTTAGTAAGAAGGTACCTACCTTATGATTTAGATTTTGGGAAACTTTGAAAGGTCATAACTTTTTTTCTATTATAGATAGAAAGATGAAACTTTCACTGAATTTTATCCCTTTCAAAGGACTACAATCCCTGAAAATTTCAGCTCATTTGCACTTATAGTTCCTGAGATAAAATCGTGTTAAGCAATTTGGGGTGATTTATCAATTTTTCAGTTTTTCTGAGTGCCTTTTTTCATAGATTTCGGCTTCAAATGTGAGAATAATTTAGTGTATGGAGTTTGGGGGATGTTGATTGACCATAAGGATACAAAATCTCGACAAAAAAAATTTTGAAATTTTATCGTTTTAGTAAGAAGGTACCTACCTTATGATTTAGATTTTGGGAAACTTTGAAAGGTCATAACTTTTTTTCTATTATAGATAGAAAGCTGAATCTTTCACTGAATTTTATCCCTTTCAAAGGACTACAATCCCTGAAAATTTCAGCTCATTTGCACTTATAGTTCCTGAGATAAAATCGTGTTAAGCAATTTGGGGTGATTTATCAATTTTTCAATTTTTCTGAGTGCCTTTTTTCATAGATTTCGGCTTCAAATGTGAGAATAATTTAGTGTATGGAGTTTGGGGGATGTTGATTGACCATAAGGATACAAAATCTCGACAAAAAAAAATTTGAAATTTTATCGTTTTAGTAAGAAGGTACCTACCTTATGAATCTTTTAGAAAACAGAAAACCCTCTACAATAAACCTTCAAAATCCCAACTTTTTCCTTGAAAAAATTAATCATTACTTACGTTATTGTAGACGCTCTATTTGATGGACTTTCTTGCTGCGACTTGGACGGCGACTTGGCCTCTTGCACTTGCGTCACTTGAACAGGAGGAACCACCGATGACGTAGTACTATTTGGCCTAGCGGCAGCCACTTTTTTCGACGATGATTTAGGATTTGCACTAAAATCCTAACAAACAAAATATAATAATTATGTATTAAAAATTCCACTTTTATACAAAGGTATAGGTAAAATTTATCACCTTTCAGTGCTATTTTAATAGAGAAAAGTGATAAATTTACCTTTACTTTTATGAATAGAATATAAATAACACATTTAAAAAAAAATAAAAAATCCTACATGCAAATCTTCTCCCACAGGCCTCTGATTGATAAGAGTGATTCCAGTGGTGGCTGAATCTTTGGATTTGCCCTTGTGTATGTCCCGGAATTCTTCGGTATAATCCTAATTGTACAAACATGCAAAAAATAAAAAAAAACACAAAAAAACATCCACACAAATAATTCTTTACCTCAAATTGGGGCCAATTCATTGCCATATTAACCCCGTGATTATTGGACCACCACTTTAAATCTTTTTCAAAATCAGCATTGTTAATTGTATGATACAATTCTTCATATATTTGATTGAGCATTGGGTCTTGGGATATATTAAGGTACTTATGCATGTCAAATAAGGTTTCTTTGATGAATCTTAGGCGTTGAGCTTCCATTTCCTGACATTTATCAAAGACTACAGTCATATCTTCCATGTATTTGGGGTTGTATTGGTTGATTTCTTGCAGGGCTATTTCGTACTTTTCCTTGCCCTTTTGCACTTCTTCTTTCGTTTTTTGGACTCTGTCTTGCATTTTTTTGACCTGTATTTGGAAATATGAATTTAGGTATCTACTAATGTTTCAATAAAGACTCACCAATTGGGTTTTCTTTAGAGTGAGCAATAATAAGACAATAATAATTATAATAATGTTAGATAAAAAGAAATGTAGGTACATACTTGATCTGCTGAAAATGAACTATCACCAGCTGCGTTTCTTTCCTGATTAGCAGCCGATTTTTCCGTTTTACAAGCAGTATGATAATCGGTCCTAGCTTTGTCCACTTTTTGCAGGAGCTTGGACCAAGGCTTTTGGGCCTTTTTAAATGCATCGTCCATGTCTTTTTTCTCTTTAATTTGCATCATTGACTGAAATCATCAAACAAATAAAAATGTATTTTAAGTTTTACAAAAGCTTATTACTTTGTGGTAAGTGTCTTTTTGCCACTGTTTAACTTTTTGCATGACGTCATTGACTATACAGTCTCGTACTTTTGAATGCAAATCGCACCGTCTGTCGGCTTCTACGAGAACGCCTTTCCAAGCTGCCTCAGTGGTACCGTACTCTGGGCCTTTTTCGATTATGTCGTTCCATTTTTTTGACCTGAAACCCAACATTTTCTACCTTAAATTTAGGCTTAATGAATTTTTGTTCTGCTTTCTTGGTTATCAGAAAATGGTTTGAACAAAGCTTTACTTTGTACCCTATTTTAAATGAGAAAAAATTCAAATAATATACAAATGATAATGTAAATATTTACTTTTGATAATTCATGCAAATGTATTCTTATAAATAAAGCTCATGAGATCATCCTTTTTTGTGATTCACTGGGTTTAGAATTGAAAGCCAATTTTGTATAATTTAGGCCAGGTTTTATTAACTGGCTGGTAGGCTTTTACCATTACTTACCTGATAATAATTTTATATTCTACTAAAAATACTGTAGACATCCTAAATAAATAGCTACTCAAAGTGGTTCTAGTTAGTAATTATTCATCGTTAGGTAGGTGTTTGTTAGTAAACAATGACTACATAATTATAAACATTTGACACATTCTGAGGTATTTGTTAATTGACAAAAGCTTAAATGTCCGCACTAAGAAAGTTTAGAGATTTGAATTGTCTGTAGCAGAATCCAGAGCTCTTGAAAGTTCAAATTGTGATTATTACTGGCTCTTGAGTTGTTGGGTAATTTTTGTAGAAATTTCAACTTTGAAGCTCAATATCTGGAAAATTCCAAAAGCTACAAAAAGCAATTTTGCACTGGCTTATAGAGAATTTAATGCTCTTTCCAATGATATATAGTTGTGGACCATTTTCTCAAATGTTCTGGATCACATAAGCAATTATTCATAAACGTGTCAAGATTTCAAAAAACCATAATCAGAAATGAGGATTTTTTTCTCATAATTACCAAAAGTCACTGATGTAAGAGTTGTTTCTGACTAATATTAACTCGCTTTATCCATTTCTGAAGTCAAAATTAAGAAAAAACCAAAAATATTTTTTTTTAAATTTTTTGCATTTTTTTCTAAGGGTAACTACCCTTTGGATTTTTATTTTCAAATATTCAAACCTCGATATTTTGGTAACCAAAACCGGTATGGAAATGAAATTTTCAAAAAATGTAGTTTTTAATGAGGGCTTTCAGATGGTATTTACCTGAAATCGATAGCATTTGTAGTTTTTGAGAAAATTGAGTTTAAAGTTTTGCACAAAATATCGACTAAATTTCAAGTTTGAGGCTTAATATCTCTGAAATTTCAAAAGCTACAAAAACCAATTTTCCATGGGCTTATAGAGAATTTAATGCTCTTTCCAACGATATATAATTATGGGCCATTTTCTCAAATGTTCTGGATGACATAAGCAATTATTCATGAACGTGTCAAGATTTCAAAAAAACCATAACCAGAAATGAGATGAGATTTCGTTTAGGATTTTTTTTCTCATTGACATTACCAAAAGTAACTGATGTAAGAGTTGTTTCTGGCTAATTTGAACTCGCTCTATCCATTTCTGAAGTCAAAATTTAAAAAAATCCAAAAATAAAAATTTTCAATTTTTTGCATTTTTTTCTAAGGATAACCCCTTTGGATTTTTATTTCCAAATCTTTAAACCTCGATATCCTGGTAACCAAAAGCGGTATAGGGACAAAATTTTTATAAAATGTAGCTCTTGATAAGGGCTTTCAGATGGTATTTGGTTGAAATCGCTGGTATTTGTAGTTTTTGATAAAATTGGGTTTAAAGTTTTGCAAAAAATATCGACTAGATTTCAACTTTGAAGCTTAATACCTCGGGAATTTCAAAAGCTACAAAAACCAATTTTGCATAGGCTTGTAGAGAATTTAATGCTCTTTCCAATGACATATAATTGTGGGCCATTTTCTCAAATGTTCTGGATGACATAAGCAATTATTCATGAACGTGTCAAAATTTCAAAAAAACCATAACCAGAAATGAGATGAGATTTCCTTTGGGATTTTTTTTTCTCATTTAAATTACCATAAGTAACTGATGTAAGACTTGTTTCTCACTAATATTAACTCGCTTTATCCATTTCTGAAGTCAAAATTAAGAAAAATCCAAAAATAAAAATTTTCAATTTTTTGCATTTTTTTCAAATTTTTCCCTTTGGATTTTTATTTCCAAATTTTCAAACCTCGATATCTTGGTAACCAAAAGCGGTATAAGGATAAATTTTTCATAAAATGTAGCTCTCGATAAGGGCTTTCAGATGGTATCTAGCTCAAATCGCTAGCATTTGTAGTTTTTGAGAAAATTGAGTTTAAAGTTTTGCCCAAAATATCGACTAAATTTCAACTTTGAGGCTTAATATCTCTGAAATTTCAAAAGCTACAAAAACCAATTTTCCATGGGCTTATAGAGAATTTAATGCTCTTTCCAACGATATATAATTATGGGCCATTTTCTCAAATGTTCTGGATGACATAAGCAATTATTCATGAACGTGTCAAGATTTCAAAAAACCATAACCAGAAATGAGATGAGATATTCTTTAGGATTTTTTTTCTCATTGACATTACCAGAAGTAACTGATGTAAGAGTTGTTTCTGGCTAATTTGAACTCGCTCTATCCATTTCTGAAGTCAAAATTTAAAAAAATTCAAAAATAAAAATTTTCAATTTTTTGCATTTTTTTCTAAGGATAACCCCTTTGGATTTTTATTTCTAAATCTTTAAACCTCGATATCCTGGTAACCAAAAGCGGTATAGGGACAAAATTTTTATAAAATGTAGCTCTTGATAAGGGCTTTCAGATGGTATTTGGTTGAAATCGCTGGTATTTGTAGTTTTTGATAAAATTGGGTTTAAAGTTTTGCAAAAAATATCGACTAGATTTCAACTTTGAAGCTTAATACCTCGGGAATTTCAAAAGCTACAAAAACCAATTTTGCATAGGCTTGTAGAGAATTTAATGCTCTTTCCAATGACATATAATTGTGGGCCATTTTCTCAAATGTTCTGGATGACATAAGCAATTATTCATGAACGTGTCAAAATTTCGAAAAAAACCATAACCAGAAATGAGATGAGATTTCCTTTAGGATTTTTTTTTCTCATTTAAATTACCATAAGTAACTGATGTAAGACTTGTTTCTCACTAATATTAACTCGCTTTATCCATTTCTGAAGTCAAAATTAAGAAAAATCCAAAAATAAAAATTTTCAATTTTTTGCATTTTTTTCAAATTTTTCCGTTTGGATTTTTATTTCCAAATTTTCAAACCTCGATATCTTGGTAACCAAAAGCGGTATAAGGATAAATTTTTCATAAAATGTAGCTCTCGATAAGGGCTTTCAGATGGTATCTAGCTCAAATCGCTAGCATTTGTAGTTTTTGAGAAAATTGAGTTTAAAGTTTTGCCCAAAATATCAACTAATTTCAACTTTGAGGCTTAATATCTCGGAAATTTCAAAAGCTACAAAAACCAATTTTGCATAGGCTTATAGAGAATTTAATGCTCTTTCCAATGATATGTAATTGTTAGCAATTTGCTTAAGTCTCCTCACTGACATGAGCAATTATTCATGAGCATGTCAAGATTCCAAAAACTTTCCAGACCCAAAAATGAGATTTCCTTTTGGATTTTTTTTTTCTCATCGAAATTTTCAAAAGTAACCGATAATAGAGTTGTTTCCAACTAATGTAGACTCGCTCTATCCATTTCTAAAGTCAAAATTTACAAAACTCAAGCCAATCAGGAGCCTGAAATATATGATAACTGAATTTTAAAACAAATCAAAAGCCAGGAATTTACAAAAATTGAATTTTAAAACCAATCAAAGCGTTGGGAATTTGGAACATCAAATTTGAAAATGTCAAACCAAGAGAGCCGGGAATGTTTGAAAATTGAATTTTAATGCAAATCAAAGGGAGAATCAATCGACTGCCCTTTTTGGTGAGGGTCAAATTCCAGGGTTGCCAACAATCTAAAAAGTACTCAAGTAAAAATTAAGTTCCTTTCCTCTATATTATCCCACACTACGATAAAGGCAACACAATATGGAAACATATAAAAGGCTACAAGAACAGAAATAGCCACACCAGACATAAAGAAGGCATATGACACTGTCTGGAGAAAGACCCTCATCTACAAAAAAATTTGACCCAGCAATAGTTCGAATCATGAAGTAGAAGATTCAGCGTAAACGTCAGAAATGGGAAATCTGAATAATCTGACACAAAATTAATCACAGAGGGCCTACTCCAAGGCAGTGTCATATATCCCTATATTGTAAATATTTCAACCAAAATTTTTGGGAACACTTTTATAGTCTTAAAAATCATTAGCACATAAGTCATACTGTATTTTACCTAAATTTGTCAACCATATATACTTGGTCCTTATAGGGATTATTTCGAACAAATTAAGTTCCTGAATAGATTTTTGATATCTTCAGAATCTTCAGTTCATGGGACTTGAATCTACAATCTAAAATCTTGGAAAATAAGTCTTTGTAATTTCCTAACAATCCAAATAAAGAAGCATTTAATGAATCATTCCAAAATATTGATAAATCCTTTGAGTTTTCAGAATTAGATCAAAGGCCATTCATATTTTTCTTCAGATTTGAAGGGAAATTTCTACTTAATGTCGCAAAATCATTTTTCTCGTTTCAATTTTCCCTATATTGTTCTTAATAAAGGAGAATTCAGAAGCCTGGATAGAGAATTTCTTCTCAAATTTTCCTCAATATTTTTATTAAATGTTTTGTCTCATTGTTTTAGTTTAAATTTGTGTTTATTCCCGGCTCTTGAATTTCTATTTCCTTTCAAATTTCTCTAAAAATATAGAGAACTCAAGAGCCTGGAATACTTAGAGAAAACATTTAAATCTCTAGTTGTTAACCAATTTCTATTAAACGTTTTCTTTAATTTTTCCATCTAAATTTGTGTCTTTTCCAGGCTCTTGAATTCCTGTTTTCTTCGAATTTTTCTAAAAATAGAGAATTCAAAAGCCTAGAATAGAGATTAAATTCCTAATTGTCAATCAATTTTCTCTCATTTTCCCCTGTCTAAATTTGTGTTTATTCCCAGCTCTTGAATTTCTGTTTTCTTCAAATTTTTCTATAAA